TTGAAGATAAGTTATGATGGGTTGGATGAACAAGAGAAGTGTATATTCCTTGATATTGCTTGTTTCTTTCTTCAAATGGAAATGAAGCGCGGTGATGTTATTGATATTTTGAGAGGCTGTGGTTTTAGAGGAGAGATAGCTATGACGATACTTGTACAGAAATGCTTAATCAAAATAAGACATGACAATACCTTGTGGATGCATGATCAAATTAGAGATATGGGAAGCAAATTGTTATGGATGAAAACCATGTTGATCCTGGGATGCGTAGTAGATTGTGGGATCGTGCTGAAATCATGTCCATTTTGAAGAGTAAGAAGGTAAAAGATTCTGAAACATTGCAAAATACAGGGTTTGATTTATATAAAATGCTTCAAAAGAGACTTTAAGCTCCAAAAACTCAAAAAGTATCCAAAATCATTCATTAATATTTTATTCAAAAAGGGTATGTCATTTATGCTTGCGCTGCCAGCAGTAGGATAAAATAATAAGACTAACAGACAAAATTGGGCATTGATAATAATATTACTAATTTTGCTGGGTTTAGTGTTTTGGATGATATATAAAACTGCATGCTGTTGAATATTACAAGTACTTCTAACTGTTTGAATATTTTATTGTTTTGTTTTTGAAAAATGATTATTTTCATGGCGAAAGGTTGCATCCCAAGAGCCAACCAACAAATATGATTGGTTCAATTTGATTTTATCCCTCTGATTTTCGCCAAAGAAGGAACTAACTGTATATGATGCTTATTTAATATATATACATGTCTGTCAGTATTTCATGAATCTCGTAATAATAATCCTTCCTGATATTCACTAGTCATTCATTATTTTTTTAATGTAGGGGACAAGATGCATACAAGGAATTGTACTAGACTTCAAGAAAAGATCAATCATTGTAGAAGAGAAATATAATGAGGTTATACTTGATACAAAATCCTTTGAACCAATGGTTACCTTACGATTGCTTCAGATCAATAATCTGAGTTTGGAAGGAAAGTTTCTTCCCGATGAACTGAAATGGCTACAATGGCAAGGATGTCCTTTGGAATGCATTCCTTTGGATACATTGCCACGTGAACTGACTGTCCTTGATCTCTCAAATGCCGAGAAAATTAAAAGCTTGAGGGGATTGGAAAGTCACAACAAGGTGCATGCTTTAGCTATTTTATGCATTATTTAATCACAAATGAACAAACTTTGGTGATTGCATTTGCAACCTTATTCACAACTATTTTTGTTAGTGAATAGAGACATTTGTTAAACCAGTTTTTGAAATAAGAGTAGTACAAGAATAAAATAAATAAGGATATTAGTGGTCTTTTGCATGCAACAAATACAACACGCTAGAATTAAGTTTCACTGCTAGGATTTTTTTACACAAAAATATATATCGGTTTCTGTTCCTTCTTTCTCTTTGTTATGTTTGTAAAGGACTGGAACCTTATAACTTTTACAAATATAACATCTTATAACATAACATCACATTGAATAGCAGGTACCAGAGAACCTATTGGTCATTAACCTCTCCAATTGCTACCACCTTGTTGCAATCCCTGATTTATCTAGGTGTCTCAAGCTAGAGAAAATTATTTTCGAGAATTGCATTAATCTAAAAAGGATTCATGAATCAATTGGCAGTTTGACTACCGTGCATAATTTGAATTTGAGGCGTTGTAAAAGCATCATTGAGCTTCCCAGTGATGTATCTGGTTTGATACATCTGGAGAGCCTCGTTCTTTCTAGTTGCCCCAAGTTGAAAGAATTACCCGAAAACATAGGCATACTTAAATCGCTGAAAACACTTGAGGCTGATCGCACTGCTATAGTAAAGTTGCCCGAGTCTATTTTTCGCTTGACCAAACTCAAACGACTTGTTTTAGACAGTTGCTCATATTTGAGAAGACTGCCAAACTGCATTGGAAAACTATGTTCTTTGCAAGAATTATCTCTTAATCAATCAGGTTTAGAAGAATTACCCAACACTGTGGGATCTTTGAAAAACCTTGAGAAATTAAGTTTGATTTCGTGTGCATCTCTCACTCAACTGCCAGATTCTATTGGAAATCTCGTATCGTTGACAGAGCTTTTGGCGTACAACAGTGAAATTAAAGAACTCCCTTCCACCATTGGTTCTTTATCCTATCTGAGGATGCTATGAGTTGGAAACAGTAAACATCTCTGTAAATTGCCTGACTCAATTAAATTTCTGGCCTCAATTATTGAACTTGAGTTAGATAGAACACCTATCAGATATCTTCCAGATCAAATTGGAGACATGAAACAACTAAGGAAACTTGATATTGGGAATTGCAACAATCTTGAATCATTACCAGAATCCATTGGCCACCTAGGATCTCTTACTACACTCAACATTTTCAATGGAAATATCAAAAAATTACCAGTTTCAATTGGATTATTGGAAAATCTTGTTACCTTAACATTGAACAAATGTAGAATGCTTAAACAGCTCCCAGCTTCTATAGGAAACTTGAAATCTCTATGTCACTTAAAGATGGAGGAAACAGCTATGTCAGACTTGCCTGAAAGTTTCGGTATGCTCTCAAGCTTGAGATCATTGAGAATGGCAAAGAAGCCTAATTTAGTTCCCATATCTCTGGAGAACACTGGCTCTTTTGTGATACCGTCTTCTTTTTGTAATCTGACCTTGCTATATGAGTTTGATGCCTGTGCCTGGGGTTTGTCTGGGAAAATTCCTGATGAATTCGAGAAGCTATCATTAATAGAGACTTTAAAATTGAGCCACAACAATTTCCACAGCCTTCCTTCCAGTTTGAAAGGTCTTTCTTTTCTCAAGAAACTCAAACTGCAAAATTGTCCGGAGCTGACTTCCCTCCCCTTACTTCCTTCAAGCTTGATCGAGCTAAAAGCTGATAATTGCTACGCATTAGAAACTATACACGACATGTCAAATTTAGAGAGTTTGGAAGAGTTGAAACTCACAAACTGTGGGAAAGTGGTAGATATTCCAGGTCTTGAATGCTTGAAGTCCTTGAGAAGATTGTTCCTTAGTGGTTGCAGTGCATGCTCCACCAAAGTACGCAAAAGTCTTTCAAAGGTTGTTATCTCCTTCTCTTTGCCTATAAATCTCGATTCAATGAATAATAAAAATTAAGAAAAATCAGAACTAAGGGTCTGTTTGCTCTATGAATATTTTCAATTTCTATTTCAATTACAATTTGCATCTTCCTTATGGATGAGTGGAATGAAATTTTGTTATGAATTTTTCTTTTTAGGTGTAAATAGAGAGAAACACTAAAACTAACGTTTTTTTTTTCTTTCGAAAATTTTAAAATATATTCAATCTAGTTTTAAAATAGATTTTCAAAAACTTCCATAATGTCTTGTCTAGTTTTTATCTTATCAGTGGAAATAGAAACTAGAAACACCAAAAAGTAAACGAACCCTTAATTGCATGTTGTTGCTTATATTTATGACAGGTTGCACTGAGAAATCTTCAGAACTTAAGCATGCCAGGAACCAAGTTACCTGAATGGTTTTCTGGAGAAACTGTCGGCTTTTCCAAGCGCAAAAATCTTCAGCTAACAAGTGTTGTTGTAGGTGTTATTTTCTCAATTAACCATAACAATAAGAATATTCAAACACCAGGAGTGGTTGATGTTCAAGCAAACGTCGTCAAATCAGGCAAACAAATTTTTAGCTCAGGGCTAAACATATGGGGAGTGCCAAGTACAGATGAACCACACACACACTTGCAAAGGTTCCATGATTACCATCCATTGGTAGCCTTTTTAGAAGATGCTGATACGGTTAGTGTGACAAAGAGGAGTCCTCCTTTTGATGAGAGGTTGGAATTGATAAAATGTGGAATTCATTTAATCTTTGAAGGGGACGATGATTACGAGGGAGATGAAGAATCGTTGGACAAAGGCTTACAATCTGTCTCAGAAAGGATAGCCATGTTTTTTTAACACTTGTGATGAAGGTGTTGATGCCACTGAGAGTGAAGATGAGTGTCAACACGAGGAATTGGAGCAGGAAAAAGAAAAGCCTCGAACTAGATTACTTGGTGTTAAAGGCAATTCCATTATGTTCTTCCTGTTTAATCTAATCATTGTGCTGTTGGGTTGGTTTTGGTTGAGATATATCTCAAGTGCTGAAAGAAGAGATTGACTTGTACAAGCATCAAACAACATTTGCTCATTCAGATTTGCTATTGTAATTGTTGGAATGTATATTACCTTAAGAGAAAAATAGATATTGAGAACAAGTTACCTTCTCGAGACCTTTCTATCATCGGCTAATTTTTAGATCTACAGTTTGAAAAGCTTGATTTAATTGCAATACAAGAATCAAAGCTATGTTGTCAATCATGTTCTAGTCTTCCCAACAAAACATGAGCTATTATTCCACTTAATGGAGAAACTCTTTCACTTGTTTGATGAAGGTTCATATACATTTTCTTATACTAATTTTAAATGGAATGTAAAAGATGTTAAAACTATTTGGTTTTACGTTTTTAAGTATAAATTTTGAGTTAAAACGATTGTGAAGTCAAATAACAGTAAAATTGGAGATGGATTCAAGTAAAATAAGAGCTGAATTTAACTTGATATTGCTTCATTATATGCAGCTTTGAAAAATTAATTTTGTTTTTCAGATAGTTTCAACTCGAGTTTCAAAACCTTTGATGTGATACGCATTACTTGGGAGATAAACCGGTAAAACTAAAATTCTGAAAATTTTACGTGCCCTTCAATAATTCTAATAACAAGATATGACTTCAACTCCATATTTATTGAACCATTTCTGTTACAATAATCCTTATGAGCCAACATTCCCCCCATGAAGGTTGTTGATTGCTTGAAAGAGTTGTTGACAATAATTTGTGCTGTCTTCTTCTCTGTATCCTTTACTGTTACAGCCTTCAATAAAACCAAAACTAGTTGATTCGAATGTGACAACATTGAATAGCATGTTCTGATTTCTCAACAAAATAAGCATGTTCTGATTTCAGTCTGTAATATCAAAACAAAGCTTAGCCTCATCCCAAGGTCCATTGATCTCAAACTTGTACTCCTGAATCCTTATAAGCCAATAAGGACATACCAAGTTGACAAAAACCAACAAACTAAGTAGCAACACAAATAGCATGCGATGCAGTGTGTACACAAAACTTAATGTCAGGACCATCAAACTAATAGAAAAGCATAGGTGCAAGCAAAAGGAATACTTTTTAATACAGTATGTAACCAGTGGAGCAAAAAGGAAAACCTGCAACGAGAATAACATGATGGCAAACACATGTAGTCTTGATGGAAGACGAGAAGCGATAAAAACGGAAGCGACTACAGAAGCATTTACGGATATACAACTGGTTAATGCAGGATTCTTCAGAACCCCTGGGGCTTTGACAGTGGATTCTGAATAGTCGTGCAGGAAAAGGTGAAGTATGAGAAGCGATACAGTTACTGCCCAAATGGAATCAGAACTGATGGACCTTGTAAGAGTTTGGTAGATAGGAGCCAAAACATATAAACCAGTTATGAAAAATGAGATATTAAGGGCATAATGAAGGAGAAGAGTAAGAGAAAGCATTTCTTGAGTAAAAAGGAGAATTAGAAAGCCTGAAACAAGAAGACTTATATCAATTAACAAAAGAGAATTTTCATCAAGAGAGGACGAAAGTGTATACGTCCAGACCAAGACAACAAGAGCAACAATGCATAAATATTCGGAAATTGAAACTGAGTCCAACATCACCTTTAGCATGTCCCTTTTTACAACACTGGCATTCATGACCATTCCTTCAAGGAATGTTTCATCAGTGTGATTGTCATCGTATCCCGGTTGCATACCACCGTATGCCACTTTTCTCCATTTGGGCCGAGGCGGAGAAGAGTTGCTACCACCCAAGCCAAGATCCATTGAAACGTATTATTTAATTCCGGATGCAATTGCGGGATCAAAATTATTATCAGTTTAGACCTAATTGTCCTTTACAGCATCAAATCTTGCACACTCCATTGTCTTCCAATTGTGCATATTTAGATCAAATCCATCTCCAAGCTCTGAGAAATAAAATAACATAAAATAGGGGAAAAAGTAAATTAAACACAAAAAGAAGTAGCAAAGATTACACCTAAAAGAATCAAGCTTTTGAATCATAAACATGAATCACTTCAAAGAGAAAATGAGATCATAATAAACAAAGATTACAACTTTAGATCACACCACAAATTAGGATTAATTCTAAAGAGAGGACAACAGAACAGGTAATCACAGATTGTCAGCAATCACAGATTGTCAGCAACTAATTGAAATTTAGTTCCCGTAAGTAAAGAACGAAAATCACAATGTAATCAATTTCAAATTCGATGATGAATAAGAGAATTCAAAACCCTAAATAGAGAAAGAAAAAACAAAATACCTGATAGTATGATACAGTTTGAGAAGTGTAACGGAAAAATCTGGGATTCAGGTAATGGTGCGAGTGAAAGAATTGAGTTCTTAAAAAAAATTCAATAAATTGTTGGTGTGGGTTGATTTAATTTATTCTCTTTTTTTTTATAATTAAATTAAGTCTAGAAATTAAAATAATATATTATTTTATTATATCATATATGATCTATACTATATACAAAGACAAAACTTGATTTTTGGTGTAACCTAATTTTTTACCAATTTTATTCTTATTTTAAAATATATAACTTACACAATAATTTTCATTAAACTACTACTATCATCTTTCATATAATTTCTCATTAATAACTTTTAAATTAACATTAAATAAAAAAATATAATTTATATTTATACGTGTGTGCAATAAAGCGTACTCGTTTGTACGCTAATATATAAGTAAAATATACCATTAAACCCATATTATATTTCTTATTTATTTCTCCTTTTTGCTTTATTTTTTTATGCCTATTTTTTGTTTTTCTCTTTTTTTTTTTACAACACTAGACCAATCAGTTTGCTTTTGTTTTATTCTTCCATGAAATATACTTATACATTATTTATTTGTTATATAAGAGAAAATATTTTTTAACATTTTAATTATATTTTTTATTTCAATTATCTTACTCTTTATAATTATAGGGCACATTTTGAATTAAATTATAATGATTTCTAGAGCCCTATATTTAAGGATATTCGTAGTGCGGTTTTGATTGGTTTTAAAGTAAAATATCATCTAATTTAAAAATAAATTTACTTGCGATTTGATTCGATTTTAGATGACGGGTTAAAAAAATGATATGATCCAATCCAATTTTACGCAGTTTGATTTGTATTATTTTTTTATATCCAAATTATAAATATTTTTTTATTATATTATAAAAGTATTAAGTAATAATAAGTTTGCTATAATATATAACTTATACTATATTAAAAGATATGATAATGATCGTTTATGCTCGAAACAAATGAAATACTAAAAGCAAATAGATTAAATCAAACTTATAAATAGGTATAAAAATATATACATGCGGTGCAACTTGGTTTGTGATCGTTTTTGAAAAATCAATCTGAAATCTGATCTGATTGGAACTGAGCAGTTTTTCCAAAATGACATCCAAACACATTCAATGATTTTTTGTTTTTTTGTTTTTTTACGGCTTTTGTTTTTTTTTAAATATTTTTTTTGCGGTTTTTATTTGGATTGGTTTGGATTTGAACACCCCTACCTACACTTATAACATCCATTATTTGATTCTCATACTAGACCACCTTTATAAATGCTCAGACTTGATTCACTATGATTTATCTCGTAAAATGAAAATTAGGTGCCTTTACTCGCAAGAGTGTTTATTTTTTGGTTGCTCCATTCCCCACAAATAATACAATTTCCTTTCTTTGATATGTGTACTATTTGTACTGCCCATAACCCCATCTTTCATGTTCGTCCCAAACATATGGAACTCGACGGACAAACAAATCTTGGTCACTCGTGTTTTTATCACTTTTTATGTGTTCATATCATGACCAATGCCCTCAAGCTCATTCCAGGTTTAAAGACCTTAGATCCAACCTAATTGTGCGTGCTTCATTCCTAGAATTTTGCATCATACTACTTAAGTATTTGTTGAAAATGGTCGTTGATTCCATATTGAGTAGGTATCCCTTTGTTGTTCAGTCCTTCAAAGTACATGTTAGTTCTCACCATTATTAGGTGGATGAGTAAAAGTCCACACATCACCTCTAGGATTTAAGAAGATTGTGAGTGTAACACCCTATTTCCCCAATGCGTAATTATATTAAATTAGAGATTTTTCACAATATTCACACATAGGATATTACACATCTTGAAACACACATGCTGGTCATGTAACACTTAATTAAATAAACATGCAATTCCTGACATCGCATGCTCGTCTTCACTTAGGGTATCATTGCAGCGGAAAATACTCAATTAAAACACACCAAATTAAATCTCATAATAAGTCCCATACCATAACAAAAAAAAAGCATCAACTCGTTAGTCTTCTCGAAATGCTTATCACACCAAAACGTAAAATACGTGAGCATACATTGTCTCTCATAAATCTCAACATAAAACAAGAAATCTCTCCCCAATGTTACATATCAAAGCATAACCAAATCTAAAATAAAGGAACTAAAAGAAAATCTCTAGGAACAAGATTCCACTCACAATAGCGAATATACTCATGAGTATCTTCACGATGCCCATGTAAATACAACATTCAGACAAAAAGGGTGAGAAACCACATTCAATAATAGTAAGTGTCGCGGTGAAATTTGAATACCAAACTATTTATTAGTTTGAATCTTTAATTCATTTTTTGCAACCGAACTTTGATTTGTCCAAAGGAAGGGATAAAGATCGAAATTACCACAATGCAATGCAAATGCAAGCTAGATTGTTTAGGTTCGGGGGTTGGTTAAACTTAGGGAAGGTACTAGCATCCTAAGTTTCTGTAGTACTCTACAGGAACCTCTTGTTTTATGTTTGTTTATTGCTATGTGTTTATCTGCTTAAAGGCTGTAAGACCCTAGTGGTTTATTTCTAAGTATACTCGATAAGATGTCGCATCTTATGCCTACATATCCTTACGGGAGTGGAATCAGAGTATGTTGTAGTTCACCTAAAGGGTTAGAGGAGATCTTTGACTGTGGTCAAAGTTCCTACGGGTTTAGGGTAGTTGTTTTGATTGGGTTTAGGAGAAGAGATGAGTCTTCATTTTAAGGGAGAGATAACCACCACAAATGTAAAAAAGGGGTTGTAGGAAATGGTCTTTGCATCGTCTTAAGAAAAAGTCTTACATACTCGGATGGTCGCCAAGTATGCCTTTGTCGTTCTTAAGGCAAAGTCCCTACATGTTTAATTGTATTGTTGTGGGGTGGAGATTATATCTCACTTAAGATGATTAACATCTATTCTCTAATGTGTTTGTAAGATGTATTGTTTTGTTGTATGTGTTGTTTCTATGTTGTAAAGATTAAGGTCCTTCCTATGGGGTTGGATCTATCCTAAAGATCAACTTGAAGAATCAAGGATCGAAGGGAATATGGTGCATATGATGTGCAACTACACACAACGTTGAATTATGTGTAGGTTTTTCCTTTGGACGGAATGCAATGCGATGCAATGATAGATATAAATTGCGGTAAAGATAAATTGCCGAAAAATAAATACGGAAATATAAACCATACACGAACGCATGAAAGCGCTAGGTGAGTGTGTGCATTGTGAATAAAAGCAGATAAAGATAAATAATATACGCATGAAAGCGCTGAGTGTAGGTGAGTGGATGTGTCGTGAAGTGCTCGAGTTTTACGATGTTGATTGATTTTAGGCGGATTTGATTTTAATTTGGATTATAAAAGGTTGATTTGTTTTTAAAAGAGTTGAATTTAGGCGGCGGTTGAATTTTAAATGTTGGATTTAATAGTTTAATAAAAAGTTAGGTTAATTGGTGAAGTTGTTTTTTAGAAAAAAATTAATTTAACTTTATTAGCAAGAGTAATTTTGGATGTGGTGAATTAACCTTAAATAAATTGGATTTATTAAATAAAAATGTTTTTCGGGTATTATCATAAAAATAGAAATTAATTTAGATTATATTATTAATTATTATAATTATCCTACAAAATTATTTTTAAGTACGAACTAGTTTTTTCAAAGCAGGAGGAAGTATTATTAATTATTTAGAAAAAAAGAGTTTATTAGTTTATTTAAATTAAAAGGATGATTAGTGGATTAATTGATTAATAAAACATTCATTCAAATTTATATAAAAAGGGTGATTTATTTTTTAAAAGGTTGATTTAAGGTTAATTAGATTAAAACTTGATTATGGGAGTTACTGGTTTAGTTAAAGGATTATTAAGGATGGAATTAGTGGGTGTGTGGCAGTAGTGGTGTGTGTGATCAGTTAATATCAAAACGGCAACCAAATGAAAACAAAACGACAGAGAAAAGAAAGCTGTGAACCCTAATCCCCAAACCAAATCCCTTCTTGTCGCGATACCCCCGTCGTCTTCCCTCTCGATGCGATTCATTCTCATCTCTCTCTCTCTCTCTCTCTCTCGAATTCGCGTCCGTTTTTCCTCGATCGCCATCTTCATTCTCAATCTTTATTCAATCTGTCATAACGATAAAACGATCAAAACAAACATAAATCTCATAGAGGGTGGAGTTTTACCGAGGATCAACGGCGACGGCGATTGAGGTAATGAAAGGGATGCTTCGGCGGTGGAAGATTCACGGCAGCGGCGGTGATTTCGACAGTTGGAAAGATAAGTTGATTCTCCGTCCAATTTTGTTAGAGTTTTAGGGTTTTTTTACGGTGTTATCGGCTTCGTACGATGGGGTTTCTTTTTACATGCCCCTTTTCTCTTCACCTTCATCTCCTTATATAGGCACCATGAGGATTAATGTCCTGTTTAAAACTTGATTGAAGGAG